AATGGAAAATGTCCTGGAAGTGTTTTTGTTTATACAAATGCTGCATAGAAGCTATGGTTCAGTTCAACCATTCAGACATTTGTGGAAGCATAAAGTCAAAACTGCATGTTGAAGTTTTTATTTTGATAGTTACAGGACTGCTTGGTTAAAAATAAATGGAACCATGTGCTAGTTTTTCACAATTATTGGTCTGTCTAGATTGCCGCTCTAGCTGGTATCTCCCTTTACTTTGGTGACCTCATGCCCTGGAACACAGCTCAGAACTCCAGGCAGCGGAGCCATCTCCTGTTTTGTTTGCCAGAAAGTGCACCCTGTATGGTCTCCTGTCTCAGTTGGAAATATTATGCATGTGCAGGACTATTTGAATATTTTATAAACAGTAGCACACAATAAATTCCATGCATGGGCCGCTGCTCCTATCTCTGTGTTGGGTTTTATTTGGAAGCTGTGGTCTAGTCTCACCTGGCTTAGATTTCACAAATTAGATTTTCAGATCCTGTGGATGTTCAACTCAGTGGGTGCCATGGAGTGGAGTCTCATCCTTTGTAAAAAAAAAAAAAAAATATCTTATCCCTTTGATAGTAAGCCGCTGCAGTGATTTGACAGGTCAGATTTCTGTCATCTGAAAGTTTAATTTTCCTGACATTGCATTTGTGCTTTTGCCACCTAAATCTATATGGAAGAACATACTGTATGTTTGTTGTAAAATTTCAAAAAGAAAATGTCAGTGTTTCGGACAATTTTATTGTGCCCGAGAATTACTTCACAGTTAGTGTTAGCCGTTTTGGGTGTTTCACTAACAAATAGGAAAAGTATTAGAAACTGCTTGTTATGTGCTATTAAATTCCCCATCTTTGATACCTTTTCCTAGAAACTAAGGCAAAGGGGATTTTTTTTTTGCACATAATAGGCAATAATTGATAGAAAGTAGGATACTATTTATTACAATAATAAAGTATATTATAAGCATTGATTAAAATAGTTATTATGGACTTTCCCTCTTTCCGGTTAACCAACAACACTTTTTCAGGAACTGATTATTTTCTCTTTAAATCATTGTCATCCTTTTTATCCCAGAAGCATTCTCTAGAGGTGTCAAGCACTAATCCAAGGATGTCTTAAGATGAAGTTAGCATAGGGGAGATGTGCACCTCTAAAATCGCTTCTCATTCAACACTCAGCAGCTTGTTATACTAAGAGTTATCGCCCTCTTTAGCCCTGATTCTCACTGCCATTCCTAAGTAATGCCTGTGGGATAACATTGGCAAGGATTAACAAAGGGAGAAAAAAGAAAGTGCAGTAAGTTGGTTATTCCTTGAATAGAAACCCCTGTGTGCTCTTTAGAGCTGGTTTCATTGCAAAGTGTAGAAGTATTTATCAAACTGTTTTGAGAAATGAATGTGTATTGTGGTAATTTGGATATTAAGAAATTTGATGTCTCCTAAGACAGATACACGCTGGGAAAATATAAATTGTAATTTCAGTGATGTTTCATCATATATGTTATCACTCCCTTTCCTAATAAAGGATGGCCCTCGTGTGATCTGTACCTTAAAAAAAAAGTCCCCCCAAAAAACCCTTATTTTTTTAACTTTTATGTCTCCCAGCTGTTCTCCATTGACACTGTTGACAGATTTGCTTTTGTGGCAAAAGACTAAACGTTGAACAGCAGCCTCAAAAAGTCTCACTTGTTGCTCACGAGTCTCTTGCCTATTGCTGTTACTTTGAAAAGTAACATAGTAACATATCTGTGAATAGGTGGGAAATACGGAGTCACATTGTGGCTCAATGCCCCTGGAACTTTGAGTCTGTCTTCCAGTTAATCAACAAGTCTTTATAAATGCCTACTTTATGCTTTGAAGTTGCCGTTTAACAGCTTTGGGTTTCCTGCTTTAATTCATTCTCTGCCCACATTCAGGGCAGAGAACTTGAACTTAACAGGCGGCATTTCAGGGTATTGGTGATCTTATCCTGCTTTTTGGTGATGTTTGCAATGTAGGGTAATGCTGCTGGAGCCAGATGAGATATCTGTGAAAAGTCTAGATCCTTTAAAGGAGGCTGAATATGATTACTAATCTGTGAACCTTCATTTGGGCCTGGAACTCACTGCTTTCTATAAGTGGATATGAACTGGGGATGCCTTTGATGAAAATAAAAATTAATTCCTTGGTTCTACATCCAATGCAGGTTTAATTGCCTGTAGTTAATGCCAGTAACTCTTGCCTGGAAGAGTGAAAGGATGACTGCCCCATTCCTTTGTGTGACTGCTAAGATATCACACGTCCACCTTTGTAAGTCACTAGTCATATGTATGAATTAGGTTGGATAGAAATTGAGTCTATCATTTCCTAGAAATTATACCTCCTCGTGAAGAAGTAGGCAGTTGGAGTCAGCCTGACAACACTTCCATTCAGAGACACTTCACTTCCCTTTCAGGGAAAGTGAATTGTAGGAATTGATTAAGCTACTTTCCCGGCTACGGATTTCATTGTTTATTGCTGAGCTTTTCTTATTATCCTTTTTGCTGTATTCTGCAGAATATATAAGCCTGGATTAAATCCTCTCAGGTTTGGTATATGGAATATCAATTACACTAAAAAGGACATCCTACTACAGTATTGATGAAGAAGCCTTTCCTGGACATGGTTGGTGCCTACAGTTCTTTCATGCCCACCCTGCCTTAATCAGATCACCCTGATTCTCTGAGGTCCTCAGTCAGTGACTGCCCATACCAATGAAATACTGATAAGAAAATCCCATGTGATTTTCTAGACTGAACAAAAACACTTCGGGATTGGAAGCAGCCTGTGGGGCCAAGGATTCTACTTCTGTCTGCTGTCTCCTTTTTCCTAGCCATCCTTTGGTGAATTTGAGGAGTGTTAACAGCGACCTGAGCTCTATTGGCAAAGAATAGGGGTCAGAATAAGTCAGGTCTTTGGCAGAGGGCCAGTCCCCCACTATTCTCATTAGGGAGAATTTGGTCCTGGCAGTCTAGTTGGCAGGGGACATTCAATCACAAGGGTCCAACATTTCAGCAGTTTGGAGAGTAAAGTGATAGGAGAGGACAGCTGTAGCTCAGCCATAGCCCAGAGTCTGAGATCAAGCTTTCACTTCACTTGAAAGAGAAGGAAGGAACCAGGGGCTTAGCAGGGTAAGTCACTTCTCCATCAGCTTGTCTTCCTGCTTAGTTTATAGCTGAGTGAAGTGTTTATCCCCTGGGAGAGTGTTAATCACTGATTAAGGAGCTTGAGTGTGACCATTTGAGCACACTCAAATAGATAAATGTCTTTCTGCTATTTCCTCTTTTGTTTTCCCCTTTTCGTGAAGACCCCTCAACATCCTATTCTCCTTTTTCCTTCTTCTCCCAAGGCGGGGGGGGGGGGGGGAGCGACAACAATTTTTTAATTGCTGTTGGGTGACTCAGAAAATAAGAGTTCAAATAAGAACAGGTAGATGGGCCCTTGGGTGGTACAGGAGCCTGAGAAAAAAGACTGATTTGACCTGCAGGGGAAAGCTAAGGGTTTGATATAAGAACTTTAAATATGAGTTGGGGCTGCTTGGGACTAGGGTTCTGGGTCAGAGGAGAAGTGGTATGTCCATGGGAGGTTGACTAAGAGGCTAGAGAGTAGTCTAGTCTAGCTCACTGGAAGGTAACTTTTTCTAGGCTGATGTAACGATCCTGCTTGGGGATGGGATAGGATGAGTGAAGAAGCTGTGAGAGCTCAGAGATGGCTCTCAGAGACTGTTTCCACTTTGTTCACCCTTTCTGTCTCCTTGTATGTTCTTCCCCTAGTCTTTCCCACTTCTGTCCTGCATCCCTTCCCTTGCTAACTTTATCAGTCTTAAGGGAGCCCAGGACTGTTAGCAGGAGTGTTGTCAGGGAACATGAATTTGGATCTCGGGCACAGACACGAGGACAGTGATATATATAGATGCAAATGCATAGACCTGGTTCCCCATCTCCATTCCTTACCCTTAACCCCCTGCCAAGAAATCACTTCTGTCTTCTCTGCATTGTGCATATGCTCCAGACACTAGACTGCCAACAGTGTGTCTCCCATGCTTACTAGGCTGGGACTGACCCCATGAGACAAACTCCCAGGAGGTCCATGTGTTAACCTGTCCTGTGGGGAGAGAAAGTCTCCACAGAGATATGTGGGGCAGATAGTAATTTTCTTACTATTCCTAACTTTAATTGGCTTCCATTTCTAAAGGAGAGCTCAAGGTTAGCCATCAGGATGACATTTCTGACTTGAATTATAAGGTCTTGCTGTAACTAGTCTCCTTATATAGCAGAAGTCCTGCTCTTTTCAGTGTTGCTAGCGGTTTCAGAGCAGATGGTATAAGGGAAGCAGACAGCCCAAGGTTATCTGTTCTCTAGTCCCTGGACCTGGCCACTTGTCAATGTAACTAGGAGAGCTGAAGACTGGGAAGAAAGATAGATTGTTTTAGGGTTCAGTTTTTTACTCACTCTGGTCCTACCCCGGAAGATAATCCAAGAGTTTCCCCTATGAACCCAAAAGTTAAAAAGTTTTGATACCGAGAGCAGAACTCTTATCTACACTAACAAGTAGTTCATTAACTATCACGTCTGACATCATAACTACTGATCATTGTTTCTCTTTTACTTGTGGTGGTTATTGCGAAGTAGTCCCTCTGTCTCTGCATCGTTAAATCTCTTGATTCCTATAACATTCCTTTTCTGCCTTAAAATGTATCGAGGCCTCCCTATCACTGCTTCTAACTGCCATATTTTCTCTTGCCGTGGCTATATCACTGACCTAGTTGTTTCTAACTCCCCTTCTGTCTAACCAAACCAGTGTTTGCTATCCTCATGTTTAATATGATTGTTCCTGCCTCTGCCTTTACAAACAACATTTTCCATCTCAAAAAGCTTTATCTCCGCCAATCCCTGTACACTCAATGAAAAATCATGTCTTCACCAAACATCGTCTTCAAGTATTTATGTGCTTGGTTTATATAATATCAATGTATGCTTGTTTGTGTCTTTTATAAATTTTGCGGTGTCTTCCACATGTTTGTTTTTTCTCTTCACAATTAGATTGTTACCTCTCCAGCTAAATGGTTAAATCAGAAACTACCTTCTCATGTTATTCAAAATTTCCTATTATGGGGCTCTGTGTGCAATAGGCACTCAATAAATATTTGTTGACATCAGAACAGTGCCCTCTTCTGAGAAACTTGAATAAGCTGTGATAGGTCAGCTCTGGCAGGCTTATTCCACAAGTATCCAACCCTCAAAAGGCTATTCCACATCTAGGCCACAGGCTCCAGCTGCTATTTTATGGCTCCTCGGCGAAGACGCAAGAAGCACTATGCACCAGTGGCTTCCCGAACTCAGGTGGCCTTGTCTTCTCCAGTCTCAGGTCCCAGCATTGATGCACTTGGCTTTCTCTCTTTGGAGAGTAATGTCCCTGGCCTGTCTCAGGTTATCCTTCAGAAGCTGAACATGAAGAGCTATGAGGAATACAAGTGAGAGCTTAACCTCAGAGAGAGAAAGGCTTTGTGTGTTGGGAGGGGATATAATTAAGAGGTGTTAATAAAGCATTTGAAATAATCCCTCCTACCCCCTCCTTCAGTGACTTGCCTATGTCATTCTTAAAAGGATTAGAAGTGGATGGGGGAGATTTAAGGAAATGCAGAGATTAGAAAGCATGAAGGAATTTGAAGACAGGATGAGAGTTTGGGGGGCAGGGATTCTGCGACGTTGTTTCTGCAGGGCAGTGGTGAATGGGGGAAGCCCTGGGCCAGGCTTTGGGATCCACAGTCTCAGTGACATGTTCCAGCGCCTGGAAGACACCTTCCAATTCTGCGCACAATGCAGAGTACTTCCTGACCAACTCTCTGATTCTAAGATCTTGCGACGCTGTAAGAGGTAAGGAGATCACTGCAGGGTAAGGTGCCCAGGGAAGGAATCCTGTTGGTGGTTGTATGTGTAGATTCCTATGGCCCTTTCTCCACCAGGTGCAGAAATGTGTATTACTGTAGTCGTGAGTGCCAGAGAGCAGACTGGTCAGTGCACAAGAAGGTCTGTTGGGAACTTCGGCTTGTGGCTATAGACCGGCTATTGGAGTGGCTAGTGGTCACAGGTGGGGAGCGGGAATCTGGGGTGGGGGACACAGAAGGGGACATGGGGAAGCTATTATAGGTTACAGGTTGGGATAGGGAGTAGGGTCCAAGATCCTGGTGGAGTAGAGGGGGACAGGGATGATGGGGCAGGGGGAAGGAAGCTCATATTCCTGGACAGAACACATTTGGAAAATTGTGTTCTCTCTTACCAGACCTTTCTATCCTTGTCTCATTCTGGTTTTTCTTTTATCCCCTCAGGTGACTTTTCCCTGACTTCAGGGCCTTGGCCATGGCCACCAGGGGCTGTTCGGGACTGGGATACCTGGTTTTCAATGTGGGGAGCACAGCTGGATACCATACTGGAATCTGTACTGGGCAGTCACACGATGTCTACTTTGTGGGACAGTGTGGGGCGGCCACGGCCTGACCCAGATAGTCTGCGGGGTTCCTTGCGACGACTTCTGACAGACGCCCTTTCTCAGCCCCTGACAGTGGGATTAGGGCTACGGACATTGGTGGAGAATACCGGAAAGCTGGGAGGGATCACAGTGCATGTGGTGGGTGCCTCCCACATAGAGACTTTCCTTGCTAGCCATGGGGCCTATGAGGAGCTTAAACATATGTTTCCTGAATCGGGTGGCCTCCACGTAGTCATGGTTGGTGTGGACCTGGCCGTGGAGTCCGTCCCACAGTTCACCTCAGTCCTCCCGACAACGCCTGCTACGATTCAGCTCAGCAGCTACCGGGGCCTCTATCATGACTTCTGGGAAGAACAGATAGAGACGGGTCAGGCAGTCTGGCCAGACCTTGTAGCAGGGTTTCATCCAGGTAAGGCTGTGGGGACCACCGTGTGGGTTGGGATCTCCAGAGGAAATATTAGTGCTCTGTTCTCCCTGAAGGAGCCACCATCCTGTAACCTCTTCCCTCCTGTCCTTGGGACTCAGTTACCTGGTCTGGTCCATAAGTAACATACTATTGCCCTCGGTTGATTACTTGCCATTTCTGCTACATTTGGCCCCAGAGTGAACCTGAAAAGAACATTAGGAGATGAAAAAAAGGATGTTGAAGTAGCCTCCATGTTTCACCCCCTTCCATCTTGCCTTTCCTTCCTTCCTATTAGGTTTCCACTCCAGCCAAGACTTGATGGCTGGCTGGTTGCCCACCCTACTGCTGCTTCGTGATTATGAGATCCCCACTATCTTCACTGTGTACAGGTGGGATCTTTTTCCTAAACCTCTCCACTGCTGCCCTCCTATATACCACACACCTCATTTTGTATAGACAAGCTCCTCCTGCTCCTCCCCATCTTCCTCCTCTAGGGGCTCCCTTCTTCTCTGTACTTGCCTCTGTCCCCAAGGAGCCTGCCCCTGTTCTGTGTCGGGAGGGATGAAGTAAGACATAGGCCCTATTAGGGCAGGGGGAAGAGCAGAGTCCTCTTCTGATCTGCCTAGTCAGTGGTTTGGGGGCACTGGGCCTGAGCTATTTCTCTGCCCTCTTCAGTCAACAGGAGCTGACAGCTTCTCTGCAGATCCTCATGGAACTGGAGACTCAAATCATTGCATACGGAGATAACCCTTTCGCTTCCCTTAAACCTGAACAAGCCTATACCAACCCCAACAAGCAGCCCGTGTACTGCAGCGCCTACTACATCATGTTCCGGGGGACTTCCCACCAACCGGATGGAGAGGAAGCAGGAGGGAAAATGGATAATAGAATTTAAAAAGCTAGTCTATAGTCTGTCTGGACAGCTGGGGACACTTTACAAACATCATCTTATTAGTGTCTCACAACAACTTTTGGAGGGGCTTTTATTATCCCTATTTTACACTTGAGGAAACTGAGGCAGACAGGTTAAGTGACTTGCCCAAGGTCACACAGCTAGTCAGTATCTGAGGGCAGATCTGAACTTGGGTCTTCCCGACTTCAGATTGATCTCTGTATCCACCGTGCCCGCTAGTGGTCCCTGAATCAGTGCCTGTTCTACCCTTTGAGAGGTGTCCCGAGTACCACATTTTCTGATGCCGTTGGGGTCCTCCCTGAAGATTATCGCACTTTTGTTCTTGGAACTGCCTCTCTGCACTAGTGTTAGTATTCCAGGTCTTTGGGGTGTTGTGGGGTGTTAGGCCCGGACAAGGCCCACTAAACTTTTGGGGGGGGGGTGAGGCAATTGGGGTTAAGTGACTTGCTCGGAGTTACACAGCTAGTGAGTGTTACCTGTCTGAGGCTAGATTTGAATTCAGATCTTCCTGACTCCAGGGCTGGTGCTCTAGCCACTCACTGTACCACCTAACTGCCCCGCCACTAAACTTCTTTAGCCCTGTTGCCTGTTTTGGGGTTGTATTTGTGATTTCATGGTATAGGGAAATCCTGAAGGAGAAACTCCTGCCACATAGTTCTGCAAGCTAGTCTTAGACAATTGCCTGAAGCATTGCCAATTAAGGTCCTTGCTCAGATTCACCCAGCTGCAGTATAAGTGTTGGATGGGGGATTTGAACCCAGGTCTTTCTGATCCCCGAGCTATCTCTGTCCATGTCATACTGCTCCACACCTCCCGTTAAGCTGAGGAAAAAAATTCCTTCAAGTGGGCCCTTAGGATTGTGTTTTCCTGCCCTGCTAGGTGAATGATTAACAGTGTCTTCTCAAGGCTGTCCCTTCTGCTTGGCCTCTCTTGTTTCTGCTCTTCTTGTTTTTCTTGAGCTCAGGATGTGCCGAGGCCTTCCTTCCTGCAGCTTTGACAGGGCTTCAGCACCCTCTCCCCATTCTCTCCCACCACATACATTTCAAGTCTTTCGTGACCAGACTGGGTGAATGTAATGCACTACTTACTCAATAAAATATTGATTGAGCTACTTTGGTGTGCTCAGAATGCAGTGAAACTTGCAGAGATGAGCAAAACATGATCCCGACCCTTGGAGAAGCTTACAATTTTTAAGATACAAATGTCATAATGTGGTGAAACATGCAAATAAAATGAAACCACTTTTGGGGGAGGGGGTTTCATGGAGCAGGTGACATTTTAATTGGTCCTTGAAGGATAGGTAGAATTTGGAAAGGCATAGAGAATGATGAGGGTGTCCCAGGTGGACAGAATGATAATGAGCAAAGGTATGGAAGTGGACAAGCTAGGGCCATGGTTGTGAAACAGGGAATAATCATAAGACCATGGGGAAATCCGAGCTGTAAGAGATCTTAGAGGCCATTTAGACCATGGGTTCTTAAGCTTTTTTTTCATCAACCCCTTTGGCAGTCTGGTGAAGCCTATAGACCCCTTCTCAGAATAATTTTTAAAAATTGAAGAAGATACTAAAATTTGGTTAGAAGTTAGTGAAAATGAAGATCTTTTTTTTTCTCATCCAAGTTCACAGATCCCCTGAAATCTATTCATGGACTCTTTGGACTTATTGAAGAACTGAGCCTGTTTAGAGGCGAGTATGGCTGGCATGGGTATGCCAAATGAACCCTCTCAAATGGAGGTTCCTAGAAAGAACTAACCAATTGCAGAAAGAAGTCAAAGGGTTGGAGGTGGAAAGGTACTCTCGAGTCAGGAGGATTTACAGGTTCTTAGGATCTAGGGTCCCAGAGGTTGGAGTCTGAATTCCAGTGAAGAAGGAGGAAGAAGAGGAGGCAGGGATACTGGCTGTGTGTTGAATTCAGCTGATGCCCAGAAGGCAGTTGGAACTTTGGGACTGAAGCTCCACAAAGAGTTTGGGAAGATGGAGATTGAAATTTAAGAGTATACTGCATAGAGGTGATAGATGAATCTTGGTAGATAGAGAGGTGATGGATCGATGTGAGAGAAAGGGAGAGATGATAGAACATTTATTAAGTGGTTAACATGTGCTATGGCATTGTGTTAAGCATTGGGGATAAAATTACAAGCAAGACAGACCCTGCCAACAAGGCCCTTGCATTCTCATCAGGGAAGACAATACATCAACTCAGGGAAGGTATGGCATGTTAATGGCCTGGAAATGCTGTGGTGGCCTGGCTCTGGGCAAGAGAAAGGCCAAAGCTGACCCTGATCAGCCCAGAGTGGTTTCAGGGGTAAAGTCCACAATTCTGCTGGGAAGAGGAGTTGGAGATGATGATCTTCATGCAAATGGCAAAATTGAGAATTATAAAAATGGGGCCAGAGACAGCACGATTTAGACAATAGTGACCAGTGCAGTAGCCGTAACTGCTGTTTTCCTGGTTCATTCATTTCATATTGATATAGATTTAGAGCCGGGAGGGAACTGCAGCCTAGCCCCCTCATTTGAGGTGAGGGAGATAACAGACCCAGGGAGCAGTACGGGGATTCAAACCTAGGTCCTCCAACTCCAACTCCACCTACTTTCCACACTGCAAATTAAACTTTTTTTTTTGGTGAGGCAGTTGGGGTTAAGTGACTTGCCCATGGTCACACAGCTAGTGAGTGTGTCTGAGGCTGCATTTGAACTCAGCTCCTCCTGACTGAAGGGCCAGTGCTCTATTCACTGCGCCACCTAGCTGCCCCCAAATTAACCATTTCTCAGTGGTGTCTAAGGCTATATTTCCCAGCCCTTAAGCAGGTTTTACTCTCATAGAAACCATAAAACTTGCACATGAAAATATAAAAAATACAGTGAAAGTTTGTAAGTTAAAAGCAGTGTTATGCAACTTCAAAGGAGGGAGATATCCTGGAGGAGATAACTTAGATAAGCAGAATTTCATCTGCCTGGAATGTGGAGGGAGAATATTTCAAGCATAGGAAATGGGTTGGGCAAAGTCGTTTAATTTGCAGACCCTTCTTTCAGTCAAAGAAAGGGTGACTGAAATCCTAGTTTCCTTACTTTTACCCAATACAAACTATACCTTCCACACTGAAAGACAGGGCCTGTTTGGCCCTAATCTAGCTTTTTATCCCCCTCTAAAGCAGGAAGGGACCTCAGAGGCCTTGTAGTGAAACTCCCTCATTTTATAGATGAGGAATCGGTGACATATCCAAGGTCACACATGTATTTAAGTGGCAGATAAGATTTGGACCCGGACTGGGAGAGAGAGAGAGAGAGAGAGAGAGAGAGAGAGAGAGAGAGAGAGAGAGAGTGTGTGTGTGTGTGTGTGTGTGTGTGTGTCTGTAAGCCTCTTGAACGATCCAGTATAGGTGCAACAATAGAAACAAGGGTTGGGGGTGCTGGTGCCTTCCTTAGGACGGCCCGAAATGCATTAGGAGCCCTAGCGAGGCCCACCTAAAGACTCAGCGGGTCAGGATTCAGTATCCTGGTGAAGGTGGCCTTGGCTGGCCAGCTGGGAGCTCTGGGTCGAACCTCGGACCCCAGCCCATAGAGGCGGAGGGGGTGCAGGGGGATTGTGGGGGCACTGGGGGCGCAGGGGGTGCAGAACCTCGCAGGGGCCCGAGGACAGGACCAGATGGGCCATGCCCAAGGAGAGGGATAGTGCTCTGCGGCCACTGCCCCCCGCCCCCGGGCCAAGGCGGGAGAGGGGGGCCGCACCCCAAGCTCAGTCTCCCGGGCCACGCCACGCCCCACGCCCTCTCCCGGCCCCGCCCCTGGCTCCATCTTGCGGGCCGGGCTGGCTGGGGAAGTGGCGCGGCTGGGCTACTCGGCGGGCAGGTGAGAAGCCGCGGCCGCCCCCTCCCCTCGCCGGCCAAGGCTGGGCCTGGGTCGCTCCCCTAGGGCTTGGGGGTGGGAGCGGGGGTGGGAGCGAGGGTGGGGGCGGAGGTGTGCGCAGAGGCCGAGGCGGGGATGCAGTGAGGTGAGAGCCGGCCCCTTCCTCTCCTGCCCACTCCCACGCCCTCCCTCCCAATTCTTTCTCCTCCTGCCCCCTCCCCTCCTGCCCCTTCTTCCGCATCCTCCCCTCTCCCCTCTCCCCAGTGCTTTCCTGGAGCCAGCCCACGGTTCAGCCTCCAACCCTGGAAAGGGGTGGTGGAACCAGCAGCCCCAGGCGGGCGGGGTCGGGGATCTGCTGCGTCACTCCCTTCTCTCTAGTTCCAGTTGGTGTTTCGATCCCCACTCTTCTGATAAGGAGCCCCCCCCCCCGGGCTGCCCAAGCGAATGCCCTCCCCAGCCTCCTCCCCCTTCCCTCTAGATCTGGAGTCATGGTGGCCAAATGAACCATCCCTCTGCATATTGTGATGGATGGACTCTTCCTCTGCCAGCTTATCCAGGGCAAACCTCAGACAGCAGCCCCTCCCTGCCCCCGCACCGCTGACCAACGTCTCTGAAATTAGCTAAGGCTGGTCCTGGTGGGGGAAACTGTCCCAGGCTTTCTCAAAGCTTGGGGAGAACCTGCTTGTCCTCTAACGACCTAGTTGGGGTCACGTCTACACGCCAGGGGATTTGAGTGGAGGTCCCCAAACCTTCCTTTCTTACAAACGTATCAAGTCTATCCATATGGGCAGTAGAGAAGATACCATCCTCAAGGATTATTCTAAACCACCCCACCCCCACCCCATCCCCCTTTCCGGAGGGAACTCTCCAGTTTCCACATTGGGCTCACTCGTTGGTCTGGAGATATGTTTGAAGCTGAACCTAGAGAAAGTTCCTCCCTAACTGGGGGAAGAGAGAAAACCTAGTGGAATGAAAACTTGGTTCTGGCCGAATCGGAACCCCAGCTTATGTGGACTCCATCCTGTTCAGGTAGCTGCAGAGATAGGTTCTGTTCGGAAGAACTGATTTATCCAGGAAAGTAGCAAATAGAAGCAAACCTGAGCCACTACTAGGGTGCTGAGACAAAATTGGCTATTTGTAAATCCTGAAAACTACCCTTTGAAATGTATGGCTTAAAGGAGAATTCCAGATGTTTTCTGTTCTTTGAGCAGCAGCAGGAAATAGTGACATCATTGCACTTTCTATGGGACAAATCCCATTGTAGAGAAGCAAAAAGATGTTAGTGTCCACCAAAAAGAGCTGGAGGTGAGCATGGAATCTCAATTGTTTATAATTGCCAATAATTGCCTTGCTGTCTGACAGATATAAAATTAGTATCTAATCTGTACTAATTTGATAATGGCTGTTAATGAGTTACACTCCAGGTACTGTTTTTCCTTCTCAAGGAAAGACTAATGCTAAGAATTTCAGGTAGGTTAATAAAGGAGATATTTGGGAGGCAGCCTGGCCTTTGGCTCCCCAAATCATATGAACAATATACGTTGTCTACTCTTAGAGGCATCCATATTCCCAGTTTATTGCTTTATCCAAGCATCTAGACTCATTGATTTTAATGTTTCTTCTTAACTCAGTTTTGGAAAACAGCCTCTATGGGGAGAGAGGCTTTAAGCTGTCTTCCTTCACCCTTCCTGTTCAACATGGATTCATTTGTTTGATAAATTTGCAACAGCTGCCTCATTACTGGGCATCATGCCACATATGTGAAGCTCTGTGAGAAATCCACTCCCTTATGGGACTGACTCATGGGGTGGAGATGATTAGGGGAACTGGGGCATTTTCCCCTCTCTTTTGTGAAAATGGGTGTTGCCAGAACTGTGTGTTGGCCTGCTTGATCTAAGTGAAGTGTAATAACTTCTTGGGGCCTCCCTGGAGCTGAAGTTAAGTGATTTGCTTAGTCACTTAGGAGTTTGTGTTTGCCCTGACCACTTGAGAAATATACATGGCACCTCCTGGTCTATAGTCTCAAATCTGCTTTCTCAAAAGTGCACAAAAACAAAATTTAAGGATGCTGGGTGCCTGCATTTTTCTACTGTTTTAAAATTCTTAAAAGGGCAATACATGTAGATCCTTAAAAGCAGAAAGGGATGGAGCTCTTAACCTTTTTTGTGTCATGAATCCCTTTAGCAGTGTCCAGTGAAGCCCATGGACCCCTTCTAAAAACAATATTTTTAAATTCATAAAATAAAGCACAGAGGATCTTATCAATGTGTGTACTCCCTTCAGCAAGGCAGATAGCAGCTCATTCAGCAAGTACTAATTAAGCTCCTATTCTATGTTTAGCATTGTGAGGACTATAAGAGGTATAAAGAGGTGCCTGCCTTCAAGGGGTTTACAGTCTGCTAGGGTTAACAAGATGAATTCAGACATACAAAAATAATTAGCATGAAGTATGACAAGTGATGAGCCAAAGTGAGTGGTATAGAGGACAAAAATAGCCAGGGAACACTAGACAGAGGATGTGGGATTTGAAATGGGCCTTCCTTAAAAAGATATAAAGGATTTGAACAGCAGAGGAGAAAGGGAACCATTTTAGTTGATGACAATAGCATGAACAAGGTCTCAGGCCCAGCAGTAAGCATTCTGTGTTCCCAGAATCACTTGAGCAGAGGGTTCATGTTGGTCAGTTAACAAGCAATAAAATTATTTAGGCAAGGCCGAGCCAATCATGGAGGGACCTGAATGCCTGGGAGAGGAGTGTGTATTTGAGCCTTAGGCTATTAATAGGGTTCAAGGCTTTCAAACTGGAGAGTGACATGATAAAAACACTGTCTTAAGAAGATTAATCTAGTGGCAGAGGCCAAGATGAATTGGAGAGATGCAAAAGTAGACCCAGACAGATCAGTTTTCTGTTGTCATCTAGATATGAGGTGATGAGGGCCTGCATTTAGTGAAGTAGCAATGGGAATGGAAAGGACGAAAGGAATAGCAATGTTTTTGAAAGAAGAATGGATGACTAGGTCCCTATAGGGAATGAAGGCATGGGATGGATCAAAGGGGACTAAAACTTTGATTACTAGTAATGTCATTGATGGAATTGGGAATTTGTGGAAGCTTAAGGGGAGGAACAGTCATGAGTTTAATTCTTCCACAACTAGTATGAACTAATCCTTTGGGCCTTTTACCTCTCCAACTTTTCATTTGTTCATTAAACAGTCATCTTTTAAACCACCTAATATTGCTAGGCACTGTGCTAGGTTGAGGGAGGGGGAAACATACGAATGCAAAAAGGAAATATTGTCAGCCTTCAAGGAAAAGGAAGTTTTCTCCATGGTGAATGAATGAAAGAATGGCATCTATTAAGTGATTACCACATTGCAGACACCAGAGATGCAAATAGGAAAAAAACCCTTTCCCTCAAGAAATTTATATCCTAGTGAAAGAGACAACACTTATGAGGAAATGAGGGCAAGAAGAGAGTGTTCTGTAGGGAAGAGGTGAGGGAATGGTGAGTGGAGCCAAAGGGCAATCTACTGACACTCCTTTTCCGGAAGCAGTGGTAACTTTTCTTTGGCATGAAGGATCACACAGTAGGTAATTCACACGTGAATCTAAGGTTGGGTCTCCCTGTCTCCACTAACCAGAAAACTTCCTTAGGTCATCATTTGGGGTATGAGAAGGAAATTCTCAAAGTAATTACAGTATTACTCTCAATCAGGAATAATTAGGGAAGCAAATCCACTGTCAAAATAAATATTCTCTAATATTTGCAAAGTCAAATATTGCACAAATAATTTCAGGGATGAGAAGTAGCAGGTGTAATTGATAAAGGGCAAGTACTGGCTTTTAGAAGTCCTGGGTTTGATTTCTTCCTCTGACACATCTTGGCTGTGTGATCTTGGGCAAATCACTTAATCTTTCTTAAGACCCCTTTTTTTTTAACTAAGTAAAGAGGCCATTTTCTGCCTCTTTTCTTTCTCTCTCTTTCTCTGTTTCTCTTTCTTTCCCTTCTCCCTACCCTTTGTCCACATAGGATATCATACACTTACCTGAAGGTGCTCTGCCCAAAGGAAGGTTTGATCTTTGAAACATTTGTTTTTTTTTTTTTTCTGGCTCTCATTGATTGGTCAACAATAAGTCACAGGTCCAGCTTCATTTGATCATTGTTTGGGCCCTGATTGGCTCAAATAGCAGTTGTTTCTGTTTTGGCCAGAAACCGTGAGGGTCTTCCCCTCCCAGATTGATTTTTTTTTTTTTTTTTGACTAGGTAAAGAGGCCATTTTCCGTCTGATTTCTTACTTAGCCTTTGTCACTGAATGAGCGTTGTCTCAGTCAAACGGACACTGGGAAAGACCTTAAAAAGGTCACAGTCTCCCATGTGATCTGTATCTTGCCATTGAACCCGGATGGCTCCAAAGGAGAAAGTGAGGCTGGATGGAGAATCGACTATAGAATAAGTTATTTGTATCCTCAATTTTCATACTGCACAGAATCAGAAATCAGAGAGAAATCTAATCCACTTCCTTCATTTCACAGATGAGGAAACTGAAGTTCAGACCTTTCCCCAAAGTTATACATCTGAACTTGAATGCCCAGAATTTTGAAAGAAAAATGTGTTACTTAAAAAAACAAAAAACCAGCCTAAGCCGTGTGTGTTTCTAGAGACCTTACATTTCATAAGAAACCACTGAGAAAAATTCTTCTTTTCCAGAATGTCTTACCCAGGATACCCCCCTACAGGCTACCCAGCATTTCCTGGATATCCTGTAAGTATCATGACCAGAGGATGGGGAGGGAGTGGTGGGGAAGAGAGTCAAACAGATGAAATTTTAGAAACCTTCTGTGTAAACCCTGCCAAATCATTTCTTCCAGATAATTTCTTTTCATTAATGAGCATGAGAGGAACTTGACTCAAGGACCACAAATCCCTTTGTGTCATAGGGAATTCAAGGGGCCTCTCCCTGTTGGTTCAGTCTTAGTTCAGGGTTTGAGATCACTTTTGTAAGTGTGCTTGTCAGTTCCCACTCTGGATGTGTGGGATGCTGTGAAGAGCTGTGCGTGTACTCCTGAGGGGATGGATAGGATTGGCCTTCTAGTCTTGCACATTTCAGCTTCACACCGGTGGTAGACTTGCCAACCCCCAGGAGGAAGAGGAGAAGCCACAATCGAGTTATGGTACTGTAACCTGATGGGAAACACGTTTGCGACCCTAAATGTATCAGAGAAGAGATGAGAATCATAATTGTGTCCACAGTTGGCAACCCTGTGGCAACTGTTCTCACCAAATCATAGAATCTTAGAGCTGAAAGGGACCTTAAGAGATTGACTAGTTCAACTTCCTCAGATTGTAAGACCTAAGAAAGTAAAATGATTTATCTAAGGTCACACTGAGCCAGAACTAGAACCTCAGGCCTCTTGACTTCTACTGCAATGTTCTTTTCTTTCTTTTTTAAAAAAAATGTTATTTAATTTTAAAAGTTAATATAATTTTCTCCTTCCCACTTCCCCTATCCACAAAATAGGAAGGAAGAGAGGGACAGAGGGAGGTTCTTTCCTCAGTACATAGTCAAGAAAGCCCTAGAATTCTTTCTTTATTACGTGGTAGGGGGAATTCTAATATTGTATCTTCAAATTTCAGGGACATGAAAACTATTCTTTTCCCAGGACTATACTTGAAGGAAGGAAAGAAGGAAACAATCATTTATTAAGTGCTTACTGTGTCCAAGGCTCCATGCCAGGCACTGGGGATATAAATACAAGCAAAAAAGAAAGATGGCCCTGCCCTCAAGAAACTTACATTCTAATGGGAGGGAAGAAAACACCCAAAGGGAAGCTGAAAAATAGGATAAAGAGAGAAAGGGATGAAGAGGGGGCACAGAGGAAGGTACCCGGTAAGAGCGCATGATTTTGAAGTCCAGAAAATCAGGAACAGAACTAGGAAGAAGATGAAGAAAGGCTGGTATGGGCCCTTCCACAAAATGGAGGTTCTAGAACAGGGGTGGGGAACCTGCAGCCTTGAGTCGACGTGTAGCCTTCTAGGTCCTTGGGTGTGGCCTTTTGACTGAGTCCAGGTTTTATAGAACAAATCCTTTTATTAAAGGGATTTGTTCTGTGAAGTTTAGATTCAGTCAGAGGGCCACAACTTGAGGATCTAGAGAGCCATGTATGGCCTCGAGGCTGAAGGTTTTCCCCCCCACCCCTATTCTAGGAGGAACTCAGCAGTGGAAGCAGAAGGTTGGGACTTTTGGAGGGATATTCCAGGGTGCAGAGGTGATAGGCTGTTCCAGGTGAGGAGGACCCTGAGGATGCACTGAGAGAAGTTCTAGGATGAGCCATCAGTAGACGGACATGATACTGAAGTCCAGAAAGTCAGAAACGATGCCAGGAGAAGAATGCCCTGAACCATAGCAGAAAATCCTGACTCTTGTAGCCCAGATGGAAAAACTGAGGCACAAGTGAAATGAATGACTTGCTGGTCCCAAGACGATTATGTTTGACCTAGTCTTGACCAATAAGAATCCTAGGAGCCCGGGTATAAAAGGTATCTGTTGTTCTGTTAAGTTAAGAAAGTTGCAGATTTTTACAGTATTTCCTCATACTCTTTTTAAATGTACTGGCTTTATTTAAGCACAGATTCACTTGGTGCTTTTCTGGTTCTCAGCCTGCAGGACAGGAGTCATCTTTCCCACCTCCTGCTGGTCAGTATCCTTATCCTGCTGGCTTTCCTCCAATGGGAGGAGGAGCATATCCTCCTGCACCAACTGGTGGTTTCCCAGGAGCTGGAGGCTACCCAGCCCCTGGAGGCTACCCTGCCCCGGGAGGCTACCCTGGTGCCCCACCACCAGGGGGAGCTCCATCTTATCCTGGAGGTAAGCTATAGTCCTTGGTGTTATTGACTTGGGGTTAGCTGGAGTATTGGATTCTTTACTTTCCCCGCTCCCTTCTTTCTTGTTTGTGGTCAGACTGTCACTTTAGTTCAATCACTGAGGATATAAAGTAGAAAAACAACACAGTCCCTTCCCTTCAGTTTACTATAGCCTGATGAGAAAATAATGACATTTAGGTAAATTATTAACCTATGAGGTAGAATGCAGTAGGGGCAGAAGAGAGAGCCAAAGTGCTCTTAAAAAAACCAAATAAACAAACAGAGGGAGAGCTTATGGTTAGCTCAAGGCATTAAGAACAGTTAGTACCTGAGCTGGACCCTGGAGAGAATAAATCATGTGCTGTGTGTGGGATAGGTATTCCTGCTGAGCAGTCAGATTTGGGAGCTGGCTTAAACATTGCTGTGAACAAAACTGGCATAATTCTCGTGGTAAAAGAGAAATTTCTTTTCCTTCTTTCCTCATAATTTTTAATAGGTCCTAAAAAGCATCAATTTCTAGTAAAACAGAACTGATCTTTGAATGAAGGCTGTAGGTAGAAGCTTCAGGACACTTTTGTCTAAAGCAGGAGTTCCTAAATCTTTTTTGCATATCATATGTACTTCCTCTGAGGTATATATGTCTCTGAGACCTATGGACCACTCCTGAGAATCATATTCTTAAATGCATAAAATAGAGGACAAAGGATTACAAAGAAAACCAATTCTATTGAAATATAGTTTCAGTTTTTTAAATTCTCAGACCTCAGTCAGCAAGCATTTATTAAGCACCTACTATGTGCCAGACACTGTACTAAGCACTGGAGATACCAAGAAAAGCAAAAACAGATCCTGCCTTCAAGGAACTTAAAATCTAATGGGGGAGAAGGTTAAGAATCCCAGTTTTAAAGGTTTAAAGTCAATTAGCAAGGAAAGTGATTAAAACAAACATATAGATATAGATACATAAACACACATACACATATATATGCATATGTATGTGTAGATGGTATGGAATTTAAACATGAAGCATGACAATGTGATAATTAAATTTATTAATTAGCATTTTTAAATACATTTGACTGATAGGGTGAATATTGATTATGTGTAATCTTTGCTTAGAATGCATTATGGTCATTCATTTTTTGGTGTTTCCTCTGAAATTATGACATTTATTGTAATAATTATGAAACTCATCTCTCTGTAGCTTCTCCAGGCCAGGGATTTGGAGTCCCACCAGGTGGAGCTGGCTTTTCTGGTTACCCACAACCGCCAGCCCAGTCATATGGTGGTGGACCAGGCCAGATTCAAATCCCAGGTAGGTGTCTACTATAACCAAATAAAAAGCTATATCACATTGTTTTGAATTGTAGCTTAAATAATTTTTTAACCTGAAAAGAGAAAAATGGACATTAATATATGTCAGGGTTGTAACATCTTCAGTGAACCAAATGGTCCTTTGAAACTTTTTTAGCATAGTATGTAGAATTATGAACTATCCTAAAATTTTAATTTTGGATTTTTAACGTATGAGAGGCAAATCAGTTTTTGATTTAAAAAAAAACAAAACATTTCCAAATTTAGAAACAAAAAGACTCTTAGCTTTAATACAAACTGCCCGATTGCCTTTTTCTTCTGTACTCATTCCCCTCCATCCTTTGGCCAAAAGAAAATAACAACCTAGACCCTTCCTCAGATAAAATCAGCAATTTCATCCAGAGTTTGGAGAAAAGTATTAACCCTTGAGGACATAGCAATGAAATGGAGCATTGAGAAACAAATGCACGTGGTTCAGTGACACATTGGTAAGAGGTTTCAGTTGGCATATTCCAAAACAAACAAACAAACAAAACCCAACCTTACTTTGATGGGTAATTGTAACACTAATCTTTACAAATATACAATATACATAACAACGAATGTACTTTTTTTCAAGATCATCTAATCTGGGAGGCAGGTAGATGGCACAGTGGATAGAGCACCAGCCCTGGAGTCAGGAGGACCCGAGTTCAAATCCAATCTCAGACCAGACACTTGACACTTACTAGCTGTGTGACCCTGGGCAAATCACTTAACCCCTAATTGCCTCACCAAAAAAAAAAAAGTCATCTAATCTGGGGGTTCTTTTTTATTTAATATTTTATTTTTTCCCAATTACATATAAAAACAGACTAATGTACTTTTGAAGAGTGACCTATTTTAAAAGAGCTATTACATGGTTTATTTTTTTTAATTTGTAGGTGGGTTCCCTGGAGGACAGATTCCTTCCCAGTATCCTAGTGGCCAAGCTCCTGCTCCTTACCCTAATCAGGTATTTTGGGATGTGCCTTTTCCAGCAAAGGGGTAACCGGGTAATACCAAGGGAAAATGGCGTTGTTTTGCTGCCATTGGCAGGTTTACAATACGGAAGAAACAGGGTATCTATATGTCCTCTACTGTGAACATATTCATGCAGGCAGAGCATACCTTGCCTAGACCAACTAGATATGGGGTCCTACTAACTTTGATAAGGCGAATAAGTTCAGGAGGACAAGATATATTTATTGTTACACCTCATCACAGGTAGAGGAGAGGTAGCATTGTGTAGTGGATAGAGAGCCAGCCTTAGAGCCAGGAAGAACTGGATTTAGGTCCTACCTTTGATGCATACTGGCTGTGTGACCTTAGTTAGATTCCTTAATCTCTCTGGGCCTTTAGGCACCTCTCTGTAAGTCACCAAGAAGTCACAGACCTGCACCAGTAGAGGGAGATTCCTTATTTGGGAGTTCTCTATAGCAGTTAAATCATAGATTCAGTTCCATTCTCTGTCATGGGTAATAATTCTGGATAATTGAATAAATCCCTACTGAAAGATTCTGTTGGAGACTTAATGCTCCTAAGCAAGACAGCGTGGTATAATAGAAAGAACACTGGGCTTGGCTTCAAATTCCAATTCTACCACATATTCACTGTGACCATGGGCATGATATTTAACCTCTCAGGGCCTCAGTTTCTTCATCTGTCATCTGGGGGTAGTAACATATTATCTATGCAAAGCTATAACTAGGACAGTTTCACTTGGAGGGAGAGAGCAGAGAAATGTCTAAAGTATGACCACTCTTTAATGTGATAAAGACGTTGGAGACAGAAGTCATGGGAGGTAAGACGTTTGAGGGACTGGGAGGTCAGATGGGAGGCAGGAAGAAGAGTGGCTGGAGGTAGCTAGATCACAGCGACAAGAATCTGGTCAGGAAGTGAATATTAAAGAAGGAAAGGGAAGTTCCTGAGTGATGGTGATTGTGCCAGTGGGGAGAAAGGGTCACTCCTCCTGGCCCATGTGCCAGAGCATGGGAGAGAAGAAGCAGCCAGTCATGAAGAAGGTAGAAGGGAAGAGAATAAGTATTTATCTACAACCTCCTGTGTGCAAGACACTGTGCTAAATACTTTACAGATAGCATCTCATTTGATGCCATAGCAGCCCTGACAGACAGGTGCTATTATTATCTCCATTTTACAGTTGAGGAAACTGATGCAAACAGAGGTTAAGTGACGAACCCAGGGTCACACAGCTAGTAGGTGTCCAAGGCTGGATTTGAGCTCAGGTCTTCTTGACTCCAGCCAAGCCTCATAGCTCCCTCTATAGTATCTGAAGGAGAAAGCTAGACTTCAGGGAGCATCAGAAGACAAAAGGAAGTCGATTTTGATCCAATCCTAGGACCCTAGATTCAGTTCTGGAAGGGATCTTGTGGATTGTGATTGTAGTCCAACCCAGTTCTCATTTCACAAATCAGAAAACAGACTCAGAGAGATGCAGAGACTTTCCCAATGTAAGACAGGCAGTCAGTAATGGACAGATTTCAGATTCAGGTCCTCTGACTACACATCCAGGAAAGTGAGCTTTCCTCTGTCCTCTAAGAAGGCCTTCAGAGGGCCCAGTGGGTAAAGGAGGGCAGAAGAGGGGAGCCACTTTGGGGAGAGCTAGCATGGAGTTTACTGGGGGGAGGGGTGGCAAACTGTCCCATTCCCTAGCTAATCATTCAGTGGATTCCCAGGCCTGTCGACTCATCTGAGTCAGAACTCAGGTGGGGAAGGGATGAGTGTGGTGTACCCTCTGCTCCACTGGGAGGGTGTTCTCCATTGGGAGAAGGTTGTAATGGCTACAGAACCTGGGATGCAGGGGCAGTATGGCAGCCCCTAGGCTCACCCAGTGAGAAAGCCAGCCTACCAGCCTGCAAGACCTAGTGGGGGCGGGGGGGGGGGGGGGGGGGGGAATTGTACCCTAACCTTCTAGGATGTCAGCACATAAGGCACGGCCCTGGTTGCCCTGTGGTAGTTCTGACCTGTACCTACTTCACATGAGTTGTTGTGAGGCAGGTACTTGCTAATCTTAAAGCGTTATAGAATTTAAATTTTTAGTCATAATAATATAACCTTGAAACTTGGACAACTGGGCTGTTTGTGGGAATTTAGAGTCTTCTGGTACTATTCCCAGAAAGATGATTATGTGCTTCCATTCTGCCTTATAAACTTCATCTGTTCTTTCAGATCAATACAGAGTTCTTTCCTTCCTGTCCTGTTTTCTCTCCTATTTCTTTGGATTATAGCAGTGAAGTGAGTAAGGCTTTTTCTATACACTAAAGGCCTCTTGAAGTATTATGCTCCAGAATTATTCTTCCTTCTTATGTGCCTTTTACTTTCCTTTCTATCTCTGCAAAAGATCATTGGTTTCTCTTTCATTTCAAAAGGCAATTTGCATGAGTATGTCGATGATTCAATAGATGCAAAATAAATTGGTATGTCTTTGACTACTCTTATCTTGTAAATGGCATGTTTGTCAAATAAGTTGATGATGGTGAATGGGGAGGGGTTGCTAATCCAAAAACTGACGGAATGGATGACAGAATTTAGCTTCACAGAGTCCTCTATGTCCTGAAACAACAGGCCAAATCTGATTTAATAGAGCAAAGTATACGGTCCTGTGCTGGGCTTTAGAATGTGCAGGACAGGAGAGGCATGGCTAGGCAACAGATCAGTCCGTGGGAGAGACGCTGGGGTTTTATTAAATGATAAACGCAATTGAGTTGTGTGTCATGGCAACCAAAAACAAAACAAAACAAAATGTAAAGCAAATCTCATTATTTCAAAAGAACTATAATTTTATCGGAACAGGTGCTCTCTCTTCCAACCCCATTGGCAGCCTTTCCCCATCTGAATAGATGAGCTTCATGAGCTGCTGCTGGCCTCAAATTGACCTGCCCGCTGGTGGAGGAGCCTTTCCAAATGTAGCTACACCAGATCTCAGATAAGACATAGTCTGTCACCAGAGTCATGTTTGAAGTCTTTTCTGTTTGGTAGGACCTCCTCAAGCTTGTGTTCCCCTCACATAGCCTTTAAGATTCTAGGATCATCTACACACCACAAGGAGGCATTGGAGGAGTCTAGGAAGTCATCAGCAAACATTTATTAAGGCTTACTATGTGCCAGACGTTGTGCTAAACCAGGCAGTTACAAGATCTAAAACAGTCCTTGCCCTAAAGGAGTTCACAGTCTAAAAGGCGTGGATGTGTGTGTGTGTGTGTGTGTGTGTGTAAACAACACTATGCAAACAACTATGTACAAACAAGATATATACCAGATAAATTGGAAGTATTCTCAGAGGGAAGCCACCAGCATTAAGGAGCACTAGGAAAGGCTTCTTGCAGAAGGTAGGACTTTATGGTACTTGAAGGAAGTCAGGAGGCAGAAACGAGAAGGGAGAACATTCTAGGCATTGGGAACAGCCTGTGAAAGTGCTGGGAGTTGAGAGATGTAGTGTCCTGTGTTAGAAAAGCAAGGACGCCTATGTCACCGTATTGCAGAATAGGTGTGTGTAGGGGGCAATATAAGCTATCCGAAGACTGAAAAGGAAGGAAGAGGCCAGGTTATGAAAGTCTTTAAAAGGCAAACAGAGGATTTTGTATTTGATCTTGGAGGTAATAGGGAACTACTGAAATTTACTGAATAAGGTGGGGTGACATGATCAGAACTGTGCTTAAGGAATAATATATTTGATAGCTGAGTGGAGGATAGACTGGAATAGGGAGAGAACTGAGGCAGAGAGATCAGTCATTTAATCAGTCATTTAATAAACATTTATTAAATACCTGCTGTGTGCCAGGTCCTGTGCTAAGGAGTCACTGGAGTTTGTTGAATACTAGGGGAAGTGACAGTGACATAGACCTGTGCTTTAGGAAGATCCCTATGTCAGTGTGTCCAGTTGGCAGAAATTATGGGGACCCAGGTTATGGTACAATGTAAAGACTTTCCTACTGATTATAGGCTCACAGGGTTTGAAACTGGAAGGGACCTTGAGGTGATATAATTATTTAGATAAGGATACTGAGACTCCAAAAGGTGAAATAGTAACTTGCTTAGGATCTGCCAGGTGGTAGATTCCAAAGCTGGAATTTGAATCCAGATCTTATGGCTCCAGATACATGGCTTTTTCTACCGTAAGCTGCCTTGTGAAGTATAAGCATCCCATTACTGAAAATGTTGAGATCTAGAACTTGGTTATGACTATCATTCCAAGATGTCATACAGGGAACTTCTGTATTGACTAGTGGGTTAGAATGGATGATGTCTGAGCCTCTTTCCATCTCCAGCATTCTGTGCTTCTATTTTATATATAACTCCACAGAGCATGGGGCTTCTCATAGTAAAGGTATAGCATAGCATACTGCTGCAGACTACTAGGTGGTGAAGTGAATAGAGTGCCGGGCCTAGAGATAGGAAGACTCATCTTCCTGAGTTCAGATCTGGCCTCAGACACTTATGAGCTGTGTGACCCTGGGCAAGTCATTTAACTCTGCCTCCATTTCCTTATATGTAAAATGGGCTGATGAAGGAAATGGCAAACCACTCCAGTATCTTTGCCAAATCCCCAAAACAATCATGAAGAGTTGGACATGATTGGAACGACACAACAAGAACAAGAAGTATAGAATAATTTGAGAGAAGGAATCGAGGTGAGAATGATAGTTCCTCCTGCAGTATCATGGGAGTACCTTTTACACATAGCAGTCATCTCCCTTGTTCCTTATCATACAGTCTGACCAGGTCACTCCCCTACTCAGGAAACTTCAGTGGCTCCTAGTTACCTCTAGGACAATAATCTTTTTAACCTACTTTGTGTTGGGGACCCACCTGGCAGTCTGGTAAACCCTTCTCAGAATAATGTTTTTACATGCACTAAGATAAAATACATAAGATTACAAAGGAAACATACACGTATATGCATATATGTGTTTGTGTGCAATTATCAAAACGTTTAAAAAATCAGTTCACGAATCCTAGATTAAGAACTCTTGCTCTAGGGTCAAGTGAAAACTCCACTGCTTCGCTTTTTTTTTTTTTTAATTTTTTCGAGGCAATCGGGTTTAATTGACTTGCCCAGGGTCACACGGCTAGTGAGTATTATGTGTCTGAGGCCAGATTTGAACTCAGGTGCTCCAGGGCCGGTGCTCTATCCACTGTGCCACTTAGCTGCCCCTGTTTGACTTTTAAAGCCCTGCATGACCTGGGCCCAAACTACCTTTCTGGCCTTATGTACATTGTTCCCCTTCCTATACTCTGCAGTCCAGCCATACTGACCTTCTGGCTGTTTCTTACATGTAATGTTCCATCTCTCACCTCCATTCCTTTGCACTAGGTTTCTTCCATGCCTGGAATGTACTCCCTTCTCACCTCCACTTTACTAGAATCTCATGTTTCATTCAAGACTTTTTTCAAGTGCCACTTTCTCCATGGAGGCTTTACTGATCCCCGCTCCCCTGTTCCAGTTATGAGTGCTTCCCCGCTTCAAATTACTTTGTGTTTGTTTTGTATGTATTGAAATATGTCCATGTCTCCCCCAATAGATGTAAGAGGACTGTTTGACTTTTCACTTTGTATCTCCAGAACCTGGCGCAATTCATGGCACATAGTAGGCCCTTAATACATGCTTGGGTTTCGGCTCATTTTACCTTGGGCTTATGAAGGGAGTCAGCAAATCCTTTATGCTTTAAGAATTCTTCATTTCAGCTATGTAGGGGCTCCATTTACTCCACTATGGATCAAGATGGGACCTTACTAGGCAGGTTATTGAGTTGGTTTGGCTAAAATGATCCATTAACCTGGTGGCCAGCTCTCTGGGGATGGGAGGACAGCAGTCCTTCCTTCATCACTTCTGAGGTCTGTGATTTTGTCCTCTGCTGATTGACATCACAAGTCCAGATTTACTGGGGCCAAAAAAAAACCATTACCTTGCCTCCCTGCACTTGGCGAGGCTGGCCCTGGGATAGTCTTTAATGAGCTTGTACACCAGGCCTTTCCACTTTAGTGAAGAGTGTGAGCTGTCACGAGCTTACTCTCTCTGGGTCTGGCACTGTGAACCCACAGTTCTGCCATGCCATGGTGAGGCATTAGAGCAGGGCTTTAGCAGTACGTTATTATTTTTGTCTGAGGCTGTAATTTAATGAGTGTAAAGAATTCCTAGTGAGAAGAGATGTGAAGATCAGCATATGCTCTTAGGGAGTTGTCTGGTTACACTGAAAAGCTGTAACTTGCCCCCAGAATCATACAACCAATAAGTATTAGTTAGGATTTGAACTCAGCTCTTTCAGCTGAGGCCAGCAATATGTGCACTACTCCCTACTGCCTCTCATATATACTATTGCTTACCATTATAGCATCAATTTATATGTAAGTATCCCAGATTTATTCTAGGATATCAAACTTACCTATGACTCATCTCTATTTGCTGATAATTGCTTCCTCAAAAGGGACATTCCTGCTTTTTTCACAAGGTTGTTACAGAAATCAAATATGATAACATATAAAGGACTTTCCCAACTCTAAGGCTGTTCTTATTATTATTATTCATTGGTACTATAAGAGCAAAGTGTTGAGAAGCTAGTTTTACACATCAGTGCTTGACATGAAATGGTTTCTGCTCATCCTTATAACCATTCTATTTTCAATTGTGTTTCATACTCTGCTTCCTTTCCTGGGTTGGTAATAATGGATCAGAAGGGTATTGAAAGTTCCTATTAGAGGAGAGTGTCGGGGATTGTAGGCAATAGTTATTTTTTCTTCAGTAACTTCTCCAATTTGGCCTTCTTTTCACTTCTCCTCTTTAATCTCCAGCTCTAGTGGTAGTGGCATAAGTGCTTCTATATAATCCCACTGATATTTTTACGCCCTAAAAATGTAAATAATCATGTACTACCCTTACATCCTTACCCTCATGAAACAGTGACTTTGATGTTTTAAGAGGAGCACCAAGCTTGGGAAGAGAAGCTAGATTAGACAGAAAAGGTCCGTGCTGGAGATTTCCAGTGTAGGGTCCAAATGGAAGAGGGGTTCCTTATAGAAGGTGAGGTCCTTCAGATGTGCCTGTCTGCATCTGTTATTATGCCTGTTGCCCCAAGCTCCAACACATTTCCAAGCCTCCCAAATGAGATCTGTAATCACTGAAAAGCATCTACACCAGAAAAAGCCTTTTGTCTTGACTGATATACGATTGATAGCCCATGGAGCTGATATACAGCGTATTAAACTTGGAGATTTACTGATATTACTGACACAGAGAGGCTTTATTGCTACTGTAAGAGCCAGGACAACAAACTGGATCTAAAATTGAATTAAAGAGAGTTGAATTGCCTTTGGAAACTGCACAGTGATTTTAATACCCCCAGGCTTCTCCCTAAAACAAAGGTCCATTTTTTTTTAATGTCAATATTATTCTCATGATGGTGAATGACTGTGAATCAATCACAGATGGTGAGAAATTAAGCTAGTGGCTTATACAAAGGACAACCCAGAGACCTTCGGTGGGGGTGAATAGGCTGCAACATAATTGCTGATGAGAAATTGCACAAAAGTGATGTAAAGGTTGTAATCAGAAAGAGGCATGGCCGGAAAGGGAAGTGGGCCAGTGATGAGCAGGGCTGAGGAGTAACCAGGGGATGGCCTCTGGGCTTGGATGTTTTCCTTGCTATGCCAAGGCCTGGAGGGAGGCCCCCAGGGTATCGGAAGGACCCTGTGGACTAGATTGACTAGAAGAGGGAGCATGTATTAAAGGCACACCCACATCACGCACATCACAAACTTTAAATCCATAAAACTATCCAAGTCTTGAATTAATTCATAATTTTTTAAAGACTTTACCTGTTTAGCTCCTTCCTTCTTTGCATTGTTGTTTTTATTTTGTGCTTTTCTCATAACTGAAATATTGGGTTCGTTAATCAGAGTCTCATACACAGTATTGAATGAGGTCGAGTTACATTAACAAAGTTATAATGTTTCTCATCTGAAGCCTGACATATGCCTGTCACATTGTGTTTCCCCTTGCCTTTTCCTTAGCAGGTTAGGAGATTTTTATTTTATTATTCTTTTTTTTTATGCCAGGAGATTTGTGTTCTACTGCACTGAGAGCTATTTTTTTGTCCTGCTTTTGAACTAGGTTCTGCCAGTGTCTTGTTTTGCTCTGGCCGGTAGCAAGAGCTCCCTCTTTTCCTCCCCTGCCATTTCTACCAACATGGAAACTGAGGCACAGGAAGACTAAATAATTTACACAGGCAAGCAGGACATCCTTGAGTAGAAGAGCAAGCCCTACATAATAGAGATTCAGTTTCATTTACCATCTTCTTCTGTTCTACTCTGTATATGGAAATGCTTGCTTTATTTGGGGTACTTCTAGTCCAGAATAAAAAATAATTAAAAGGTTAAATGATTTACCTGTCTAGGATCAAAACCTCATCATCCCGTACCCAGAATCTGCAGGGCATTTGTGTAGAATGGTAGAACCCCCTAAAAAAAGGCTAATTTTGTTTCCTGAATGTTCCTAATGCCAATATCTAGAATCTCTAAAAATAATGGACCCCAGAAATCCAGAGCTAACCTCCCGACTCTGAATCCTAAATCGTAGCTACTGGTAGAATTGAATCTTTCTTTACCCTTCCTCCCATCTCCTTACTTGTTACTGGTGGTAGGGAGATCTGACTGTATGGACTCTTACAGCTTGAGTAGTCTGTTGAAGTGGTTGACCTTCCTTGCCCAATTTGATTCTTGTACTTCTCCCTCCCAGCCAGCAGCCATGGTTCAAGGTACTCAGGGGACAATCCGACCTGCTGCCAACTTCGATGCTTTGAAGGATGCCGAAGTTCTCCGAAAGGCCATGAAAGGGTTTGGTAAAGAACAAATGGAATTTTTTTTGTCTTCAGTAAATTAAGTAATGATAATAATAATAATAATAATAGTTAGCGTTTATATAATGCTTACTATGTGCCAGGCACTTTGCTAAGCCATTTGTAATTATTTGATTTCGACAACTATCCTGGGAGGTTGGTGCTGAATTATTCCTATTTTACAGATGAAGAAACTGAGGCAGACAGAGATGAAGTGTCACACAGCTAGTATAGTGTCTGAGGCCAAATTTGAACTCAGGTTTTCCTAACTCCAGGCCCGGTGCTTTATCCACTGTGCCATCTAGCTGCCCCAAATTAACCTAAAGCTACTTAAGGTAGGAATAAGAATAGCTTCCCAAATCAAGTGTTTACATGTGGGCCTTACTTTGGTCTGGCTTGTGGGTACTTTCCAAGCATGCAAAGATACAAATGAGTGCTGGGCAGTACACAGGAGAGACTCCTCTTGCCATCTTTGTGTGTGATTCTTCCAGGGACTGATGAGCAAGCAATTGTGGATGTTGTTGCCAGTCGCTCCAATGATCAAAGACAGAAAATTAAGGCAGCTTTTAAGACCATGTATGGAAAGGTATGTGTTTGTCTTTTAAATTTAGTGAGGAAATAGACACAGTATCCCGACAGACATGTGAGGAAAAATGTTTTATTTGTCTGCATAAAACGGTGCTAACGTGGCCTGAGATTTTAAAGGTAATATATTTATTTTTCTTGGGAGCTGCGGCCTTGAAATGGATGCTTCCTCTGACAGTGCATATTGCAATCCATCCACACCATCAATATAATTCATATCTGACCATAAATCCTCCAAAGAGGATCCAGCAGATGTATTGGAGACCTTCTCCTAATTCTCTCAATATTTTGCAGGTACTAGTGCAGTGCTCAGACCACCTGACTCTTCCCTTGATACATGATGGGCCCATCCCCTTTTCTGGGCAAACATCTACTTGATGATGCCATATATGACCTGTTGCATGCACGTCATCATTGGTAATCTGCTACAGCCTTCCTCAAGTCAGGTCAACAAGTATTTATCATGTGCTTACTATGTGCCATGCACTGTGCTACAAAAACCCACCATACACTTTCCATCGTTCCCTGGGTCACATGTAATTTTCATTCTCTTGAGATAGTGGGGTCCATGATTTTAAAAACTCTTGACATCTATCAGCAGAAAAGAAAGTCAAAGCAAACATAAAAAGTAAATAATCAAATCTGACATCAATCCCCTTAACATTGAACAAAGGAAAACCAAACAAACGAATAGACCACCAACAAATGGAAAGTGTTTGTGTTGGCTTCCCTTCCAAGTCAAACTGAAGTCCTGTCACTGTTTGTCTTTTAAATTTTTTGAAAAATATATTTCTAGTCAATGTGTTTGCTGCTCTGGTTCTATTCATCTCGCTTTAGGGATATGGAGAAGAACCAGACCTCTGATGTTATTGATCTGAGGATTTCCTAGACGAGGAAATCTACTCTACCAGTGCAGATGGGCACATTTTCTGCAACTCAGAGTCTGTGAAAGTGCCAGGGCATGGAGATCTGAAGTGTCTTGTCTAGAGTTATGTGACCACTATGTGAACCCAAGTCCTGCTGGCTCAGAGAACAGCTCTCTATCCATAGGACACTGTGCCTCTCAGTCTCACTTTGTATCATTTTCTATGTCTTCCTATCCACAATTCAGTCTTAATTGCTTTTTTTTTCCTTTTTTAAATTTTTTAATTTATGTATTTTTAGTTTTCAACATTTACTTCCACAAGATTTTGAGTTCCAAATTTTCACCCCATCTCGGCCCTCCCCCACCCCAAGATGGCATGCATTCTGAATACCCTTTCCCCTAGTCTGCCCTCCCTTCTGTCTCTCCCCCCCTTCTCTTATCCTCTTCACCTTCTATTTTCCTATAGGGCAGGATAGATTTCTGTACCCCATTTCCTATATTTCTTATTTCCCAGTTGCATGTGAAAACATTTTTTTTAAACATGCGTTTTTAAAACTTTGGGTTCCAAACTTTCTCCCTTCCTCCTTCCCCACCCACCTTCATTGAAAAGGCAAGCAACTCAATACAGGTTAAACATGTGCAGTTATGTAAAACACTTCCATAGTAGTCATATTGTGAAAAACCAACTATTTCCCTTAATCCTATTCTGCCCCCCATTTATTCTGTTCTTTCTTTTGACCCAGTCCCTCCTCAGAAGCGTTTGCCTCTGATTACCCCCTTTCCCAATCTGCCCTCTTCTCTATCATCCCCCTACTCTCGTGTCCCCTTCCCCCCTATTTTCCTGTAGGGTAAGATAGATTTCCATACCCAAGTGAGTGTGTGTGTTATTCTCTCCTTAAGCCAAATCCTATGAGAATAAGATTCACTCATTCCCTCTCACCTTCCCCTGTTTCCCCTCCACTGTAAGAGCCTTTTCTTTTCCGTTTTTTTTGTGAGATAATTTATCCCATTCTACCCCTCCCTTTCTCCTTCTCCCAGTATAATCCTCTCTCACCACTTAATTTTGTTCTCCAGATCCCACCCCTTCATCTTCAACTCATCCTGTGCCCTCTATCTATCTATCTATCTATCTATCTATCTATCCATATACATACATATAATTTTTTCTCTCCAACTACTCTAATAGTGACAAAGGACTCATGAATTACAAATATCATCCTTCCATGAAGGAATATAAACAGTTCAACATATGAGTTCTCTTATGAGTTCTCTTTCCTGTTTACCTCTTCATGTTCCACTTGAGTATTATATTTGAAAGTAAAATTTTCTATTCAGCTCTGGTCTTTTCATCAAGAATGCTTCAAAGTCCTCTGTTTCACTGAATGACCATTTTTTCCCCTGAAAGATTATGCTCGGTTTTGCTGGGTAGGTGATTCTTGGTTGTAATCCTATCTCCTTTGCCCTCCAGAATATTATATTCCATGCCTTGCAGTCCCTTAATGTAGAAGCTGCTAAATCTTGTGTTATCCTGGTTGTGTTTCCACAATACTTGAATTGTTTCTTTCTGGCTGCTTGCAGTATTTTCTCCTTGACCTGGAAACTCTGGAATTTGGCTACACTATTCCTAGGAGTTTTCCTTTGGGGATCTCTTTCAGGAGGTGATCAGTGGATTCTTTCCATTTCTGTTGTACCCTCTGGTTCTAAAGTATCGGGAAAGTTTTCCTTGATAATTTCTTGAAAGATGATGTCTAGGCTCTTTTTTTGATCATGGCTTTCAAATAGTCCAATAATTTTTAAATTATCTCTCCTGGACCTATTTTCCAGGTCAGTTGTTTTTCCAATGAGATATTTCACATTGTTTTCTATTTTTTCATTCTTTTGGATTTGTTTTCCAGTGTCTTGATTTCTCATAAAGTCACTAGCTTCCAATTGGTCTATTCTGATTTTTAAGGAAGTAAGCTTTTGGACTTCCTTTTCCATTTGGCCAATTTTGCTTTTTAGGGCATTCTTCTCCTCATTGGCTTTTTGGACCTCTTTTGCCATTTGGGTTAGGCTATTTTTTAAGGTGTTATTTTCTTCAGTATTTTTTGGGGTCTCCTTTAGCAAGCAGTTGACTTGTTTTTCATGATTTTCTTGCATCACTCTCATTTCTCTTCCCAGTTTTTCCTCTACTTCTCTTACTTGCTTCTCAAAATCCTTTTTGAGCTCTTCCAAGGCCTGGGACTGATTGATATGTTTCTTGGAGGCTTTGGATGTAGGAGCTTTGACTTTGCTGTCTTCTTCTGGTTGTATGTTTTGATCTTCTTTGTTACCAAGAAAAGATTCTATGGTCTGACTCTTTTTGCAAGGTTTGCTCATGATCCCAGCCAGTTACTTGAGTTATAAACTCTTTGTTAAGGTAGAGGTCTGCTTCCAGTGTGGAGAATGTACTGTCCCAAGATTTAGGGGTTTGTATAGCTGTTTTCAGAGATACTTCTAGGGACCTGTAAATTTTCAGTTCTTCCAAGGTGGTATGATAAGGGATGAGGTGTTTACTCCTTTCCTGGCCTGTACTCTGGTCTGTGAGTGACCATAAGCACTCTTTTCTGTCTTGGAACTGTGAGAAGGATTTCCTTTCACTGCCACTACAAGCTGCACCAGGCCAGTGCTCCTCCTTGCCCCAGGACCGCCAGCCAGAACTGTGACTCAGATCCAAGCACGAGCAAAGTAAGAGAATTCTGTACCAGCAAAGAGATCCCTGCAATCCCCCTCTGATCAGCCACTTGATTCCCCCTCAGAACCTCAAGCCAGAAGCTCAAGAAGCAGCTGCCGCCTCGGGGCCATGCTCGGGAACTGGGGCTGGGACCTAGCTTCTCTCATACAGTAACAGACTTTTCCCTCTGACCTTCTAAGTTGTCTTTGGCATTTGTGAGTTGAGAAGTCTGGAAACCGCTACAGCTGCCCGTGATTCAGTCCTCTGAGGCCTGCTTTCAGGTCGCTGAGGACTGTGTGCACCCTTGCCAAACTACGCTCCTCTCCCAACCCAGCGTGATATACCTTTCTGATCAACCATCCAGGTTGTCTTGGGCTAGAAATTTGTTTCACTCTGTCTGTTTGTGGGTTCTGCTGCTTTAGAACTTGTTTAGAGACATTTTTTATAGGTATTTAGAGGGGTTTGGGGGAGAGCTCAAGCAAGTCACTGCTTTCACTCTGCCATCTTGGCTCTGCCCCGCTAAAATCCCAGTTTTCATTTCTTATAAAGACTCTTGTAGACCTTGAATATATTCTTTTCTCTAGGGCTTTTAAGAGACGTGAAAACTACTATCATATTCACGGCCCCTGTTGTTGTTATAACTAAAGTATTACCATAGCCTCCTAACTCATCTCACTACCCACTTGAAAACAGCCTAGCAAGGTTCCTGCTCAGCAACTACCACTGCTTTCTTATTATTGGGGAACTGTTTTCTTCTTTGTCCTGGGAAAAGGTTTCTATCTACTATTTCCTGTATCTGAAAGGATAAGGGATAATCTGTGCCCCTCCAAACCCCTCATTTCCTATTGCCTGCCTATCCTATCAAGTCTCAATTTGTCAATTTGGAATTCAAGGGCATTCATTAGTTAGCTGTTTCCCCCTTAACATAGACACGTAGATAAGTTGGATTATCTTACTTTACCTTATAAAGCCTCTTTTGTCCTAAGGCTGAGAGCTAAAACCTGATTTCTCTGTCTGTCCTCCCAAAACCCAACCTTATTTCCCTTCCTGTGAACTTCGGCAGCAAATGTATATAACCTATACTATGGTATTTCAAATAGTCTTAGAGTTCAAATGCAAGTCAGTATTCTTACCCTGAAACCAACTCTCTACCTGACTTAATAAGAACATTTATGTAGCATTTTAGGATTTTGTATTATTTTATTTTATTTTATTTTATTTTTTGGCTAGGCAATGGGGTTAAGCGACTTGCCCCAGGTCACACAGCTAGTAAGTGTTATGTGTCTGAGTCCACATTTGAACTCAGGTCCTCCTGAGTCTAGGGCCGGTGCTCTATCCGCTGCACCACCTAGCTGCCCCCCATTTTAGGATTTTAAAAGCATTTTCCTCACAGAAACTGTACAACATAGGCAGTGCTATTGTTATTATCACCATTTTACTGATGAGAAAACAGACATTTAGTGACTCGCTTTATTTGTCAGTGATAATATCATTTCCCAGTCATCCAGGCTTGAAATCTTACTCATCTCTGACTGAAATGGTCACTGAATCCTATGGTTTTCTTTCCTCAACATAACTCTCACATCTGTCTCTTCTTTTCCATTCCCACTGCAATGGTAGTATTCCCTAATGCCTAAAGGATTACTATGGTTCCTAACTGGTCTTCTGACTCCCATCTCTTCCCACTCTCCCCCAGCCCTCCTGTCCCCACCAGTCCCCCTAACCCTTCTTCCTAAAACCTTCAGTGGTTTCCACAGACTATTAGAGGGGACCTTCCTCACAATCTGTGTCTATCTTTATAACTGGGCTTCACTTTATTTCTGTAAATCTATTCCAGCAACATTGGTCTGTCCATTATTCCTCAGCATAACCCACTTTTGCTCATGGTGCTTCCCCTCTTTGGAATGCTTTCTACTTTCTTCTTGACTTATCAATCCCTGTTCACCTTTCACTGCCCACCACAGGTCTCACTCCATAAAGCCTGTTTTCACTAATCCTCACTGAACTTGGTAGTATTTTATTTACTGGATGCCTCCTTTGAGAGCTTGTACTGCCTCATATTATTTATCTTTTAATATTTTCATGTCCCCCACCCAACCTAGATTTTAAGTGCCTTGATGTCAAGAGCCATGTCTTAAACTTAGTTGTGTCCATAGAGCTGAGTACAGCGTCTTGCTCGTGGAAGGTGCTCGGATATTTGTTGTTTGACTGAATTGTTCTCCAGTTGCTGCTTATATCGATTTCATGCCTGTATGTGTCTTATCTTTGCATGTTCTATTTTAGTAAGTAAGTATATTTCTTGATAATCTTCCATCATGTTGGTTCAGCTGCTTAATAAATGCTTATTGATTGACTGAATGAAATACTTATCTGTGAAATGAATTACATTTGTGTTTATATTTTTCATTGTACATAATTGGATCTTAAATTGAGACTTTCATAAATTCCATCATTCAATAATTCCCATAAAAACTGAACATATTTTTTAAATCTTGGATTTGTAATTAAATAGGATTTAATCAAAGATCTCAAGTCTGAGTTAAGTGGAAATATGGAAGAACTGATACTTGCCTTGTTTATGCCACCTACATATTATGATGCTTGGAGTTTACGGAATGCAATGAAGGTACTGTGTATCATCCTGAATATTTCATTTTAATTTAGATATCAAATCTGCCTCTATCTTTGTAAATTTAAAAACAAATGTCAGTCAACACTTTCTTATTTTTAGAGAACTTTTTGGATTGAACAATGAGATACAATTATTTTTTATTATTTTGGGTCCACCCACCAATAATTTCCCTTTCTCATTTTTGTAAAGGGAGCAGGAACTCAAGAAAGAGTATTGATTGAAATTTTGTGCACAAGATCAAATCAGCAAATTCGCGATATTGTCAATTGTTACCGATCAGAATTTGGACGAGATATCGAAAAAGACATTCGATCAGATACCTCAGGACACTTTGAACGATTACTTGTATCCATGTGTCAGGTGAGTAGAAGACTTCAAAGATATATTGGTGGGTGTCTGTGGGAGAAGGCTGTTTGTGGCAGACAGTATCTGACTCTTTAAGCACCTTTTGCTAACCAATGTCCTTTATTCTTTTCAGCGCCCAGAGTGTTTATTCTCCTTAGCAGTTCAGTGCCCTTAACAATGACATCCTAGCGTTTACCTTGTTCACTCAGGCATAGCCACCATCTAACTATGTTTATTCAGACATAGCTGCACTTGGGAGTCAGAAATGATCAGCCCATCTTAAATTGTGGAGCACTACCTAAATGAAAATTGTTTAGGATAGAATGAGAATATATTTTTTAAAGCCATATAATGAAATCAAGACATATGCCTCAGTGCAAATGTCAGCCTAATGGATACTCAAATAAATGGATACTCAAATAATAGATACTCAAATATTGCGTTAGGAGATAAGGACTATGTGGATGAAGCTAGAGAGTTGGGGAAATAGGGGATTCACTGTTCTTCTAGCAAAATACAAAACCTCAGAGCTAGAATAGACCTTTGTAGTCCTTTAATCCAGACCCTTCATTCCTTTTCTTGTCCTGATTCCTTGGATGTAACAGCCAGATAATTGAAGCTATAACTTAAATTTTCTGGTGCTGACTGACAGTCACTTAGGGTTGATTGAACAGGACAAGAAGGCCTGGCTAGATTTCAGTAACCTCAGATTTCTTCCTCAAACACCCAGCTCTTTAATGCCAATGTTCTTCCAGTGATGAGTTTATGGCTGTGAGTTACTAGAGTCTCCAAAGATCAAAACTGAGAACCATTCAGAGGGCAGAGGAGAGATGCATGGTGGGCATGAACAAGAAGCAAAACATTACAATCAAGGAATTATGAAAAAGGGAAAAAGACAGGGGCTGGTTATGTGGAGACAATAAGGCATAACCAATGGATAGTCCATGTGGTCCACTAGTATTTTCTGTCTTTTCTTTTTCCTTTCTTTTTTTTTTTTTTGTTGGGGGTGGGGTAAGTGTGGGCTTGAAGGTTTAGAAAGCACTTTACAAACATTATTTCATCTGAGCCTTCAGAAACTCCAAGAGGCAGGTACTACAGGTATTATTATTTTATAAATGAGGAAACTGAGGTTCAGAGAGGTTAACTGACTTTTTTGGGGTCACATAGCTAGTAAAGGTTAGAGGCTGAATTCTTACCCATCCACTGGCATTTTCTTGCTGTCAAGAGAACTCATGTAAGACTTTCAGCATATTGGTTAGACCTCATGTGAGAAATTATGATATGGCTAGCAGTCACACAAGATGGACAGGCATAGGTGGGTTGTAATCATCTCTGTTGGAGGGCATTATAGAAATGAGATAACATCTATTGGAGTGTTAAATTTGATTTACCCCTTTGTTTTAATGCCCTTATGGTATTTTCCTTTTAGGTCATGGAGTTATGCAAAAATCATAATCTAAATATTATATCTCTAATACATTTTCTTTAGAAATGAAAGTTATGTTGGGGAAATCAATGAATTAACTTTTAATATTTTTTTCCTTAAATCCAAGATTTATTGTAATTTTGTACCCTGTGCTGACTAGATCCATTATAAATTCATGTTAGCCAACGTCAACTGGGCCCCCATTGCAGCAAGGCAGCCCTTTTATTCCTCCCTAATTGGTTCATTATTTCATTCCTCACAAAAGTTTATCTAAACCGTCCTTTCTCTCAAACTTCCCACACCTTCCCTTTCCCTCTCCCTCTCAGCTGAAGACCTGGCCTCTTGCTGTACTGAGAAGACTGAAGCCCTTTGACATAAACCCCTTTTCTCCTCTTTCCTTCTTCCCTTGATTAACACCCGCAATTCTTTCTTTCCACCAGTCTCTGACGTAGAGGTGGCCTCTCTCCTTACCAAGGCCAGTTATCCCATATGTGCCTGTGGTTCCATCTTCTTCCACATCTTCTCTAGAAGTCTGCAACTTCAATTATCCCATCCTTCTAGTCTTTGACCTCTCTCTCTCTCCCTCTCCCTCCCTCTCCGTCTCCTGGTTCCTTCCCTAAAGCCTTTAAGCATTCCTGTGTCTCTTCTGTCCTTAAAAAAAAAAACAAAAACCTTACTAGACCCTGCCATCCCTTCAAACCATCACCCTTTATCTCTCCTTCTTTTCTCAGCCAAACTCCTTGCTTCCTCTCCTCTCACTTTACCCTTTGCCTTTTGTCTTCTATCCTCATCACTCATTGGAAACTCCTGTCTTCAGTATTATTAATCTTTTCTTAATTTGCCAAATCTGCTGGTCTTTTCTCCAACCTTATCCCTCTTTAAAGTTTCCTCTAATGCTATTAGCTACCTTTGTTCCTTGATACTCTTCCTTCTCTGGGTTTTTATGACGTTCTTCCTTCCTGCTTTACCCCCTACATGTCTGACTGCTCCTTTTCAGTCTCCTCTGCTGGTTCGGGGTCCATTTAATTGTCATCTCTATGTGGCTGACTCTCAGATCTACATACCTAGTCCCAGGCTATCCCCAGAGTTTAATCCCATGTCACCGATGGCCTTTTGGACCCTTCAAGCTGGATGTCCCAGAGACATCTCAGGCTCGATACTGGCCAAAGTAAAATTCAGTCTTTCCTCCCCCAAACTCTCCTGTTTTGTCCAAGGCACCACTATCTTCCCAGCTTTGTCACTGTGGCATTTTTCTCAACTCCTCATTCTCCCTCATCCCACATATCCAATTAGATGCTGAATCTTGCTGCTTCTTCCTTTGCAACATCTTTCTATTCACACAGCTTATTTCACACTCTCGTCATCTCCTGCCTAGATTATTGTACTGACCTCCTAACTGGTCTGCTTTCCTCAGGCCTCTCCTTACTCTAGTCCTTCCTCCACACTTCTGTTAAAGTATATTTCCTTCAGTGTAGATCACACTGTGTCACTCCCTTCCTTGATAAAGTCTAGTGCCTTCTTATTTGCTTCTGGGATCAAATATAAAATCCTTTTTAGCTTTTTTTGGGGGGGGGCGTGTTAAGTGACTTGCCCAGGGTCACACAGCTAGTAAATGTCAAGTGTTTGGTCTGAGGCCGGATTTGAACTTCAGGGCCAGTGCTCTATCCATTGAGTCACCTAGCTGCCCCGCCTTTTTAAAATTTTTTAGCCTTTAATACCCTTCACAAACTTGCCCCAACCTGTCTTTTCTAGCTTTATTGGACATTCATCTCCCTCTTGCACTCTGTAGTCCTACCAAAATTGGTTCCTCACACAGGATACTTCCAACTCCCAGCTCTTTGCTTTTGTCCTAGCCATCCTACATGCCTGGAAATGCCCTTCCTTCTTATGTCTTCCTCAAAGAGCCCCTCTCTACTTTCAAGACACAGTTCAAGTGACATGAAGCCTTTTTTGGGGGGGGGCAAGGCAATTGGGGTTAAGTGACTTGCCCAAGTTCACACAGCTAGTTAGTATCATGTGTCCAAGACTGGATTTGAATGTTTGTTGGTGTGTGTGTGTGTGTGTGTGTGTGTGTGTGTGTGTGTGTATGTGTGTGTGTGGGTGTGTGTGTGTGTATTAAAGTATGAAAGATGCTCTTAGAATGCCTAACCATAGGAGGGTAGGAACTCTTGGGCAACCCAGTCCAGGAAGCACTGTCAGCCCCTGGTCATGAAGATCTGGTTTCACTTTTTTTTTTTTTCTTTTTGGTGAGGCAGTTGGGGGAAAGTAACTTGCCCAGTGTCACACAGCTAGTGAGTGTTATATGTCTGAGGCCAGATTTGAACTCAGGTCTTCCTGACTCTAGGGCTGGTGCTCTATCCACTGCACCACCTAGCTGCTCCTCTTTTTTTTTTAATAGTATTTTATTTTCCCCCCAATTATATGTCAAAAAAATTTTTAGCATTCATTTTTTACAAGATTTTGAGGTCCAAATTTTTCTCCTTCCCTCCCTCCCCTTCCCTCTTCTGAAAATGGTAGGCAGGTGGATATAGTTTATACATGTGTGATCATGTAAAAATATTTCTATATTAGTCACAGTTATGAAAAAAGAAACAGATCAAAAGGAAAAAAATACAAGAAAATAAAATAAGTGGAAAAATATGCTTTGACCTGCATTGAATCCATCAGTTCTTTATCTGGATATGGATAGCATTCTCCTTTGTGAGTCCTTTGTACTTGTCTTGGATTATTGTGTTGCTGAGAAGAGCTGAGTCATTCATAATTGATCATCACACAATGTTGCTGATACTGTGTGTAGTCTTTTCCTGGTTCTGTTCATTTCACTTTGCATCAGTTTGTACTGGTCTTTCCAAGTTTTTCTGAAATCTTCCTGTTCATCGTATTGCACAGTAGTATTCCATTACATTAGTATACCACAACTTGTTTAGCTATTCCCCAATTGAAGGGCATCCCCTCGGTTTCCAATATTTTGCTACCACGAAAAGGACTGCTATAAATATTTTTGCACATGTAGGTCCTAGGTCCTTCTCCCTTTTTTAGGACCTATTTGGGATATAGAGCTAGTAGTGGTATTGCTAGATCAAAGGTTTGCACAGCTTGGTTGCCCTTTGGGAATAGTTTCAAATTGCTATCCAGAATGGTTGGATCAGTTCACAACTCTACCAACATTGCAGCAATGTGCCAATTTTCCAACATTTATCATTTTCCTTTTTTGTCATATTAGCCAATCTGTATGAGGTGGTATCTTAGAGTTGTTTTAATTTGCATTTCTCTAATCAAAAGTAATTTAGAGCACTTCATATGCCTATAGATAGCTTTGATTTCTTCATCTGAAAACTGCCTGTTCATATCCTTTGATGTGAAGCCTTTCTTGATCTCTTCAACTGCCTGTCTCTCGAACTACCTTATACTTATTGTATTTACCTTGGATTTATTCCCTCTATATGCTTGTGTATGCAGTTGTCTTTCCTTTTTGAATGTGAACTTCTTGAGAATAAGAATCATTTCATTCTTTGTATTTGTAGCCTCATCACCTGCCACATAATAGTAGCTTAATAAATATTGATTGATGGATTGTCTTCTTTGAAAATACAATCCTTAAAAAAAATACAATCCTTGTATTTTTTTGTCTTTCCTTTTCCTTGCTAGGGTAATCGTGATGAAAATCAGAATGTGAATCATCAAATGGCTCAGGAAGATGCTCAGCGTCTTTATCAAGCTGGCGAAGGGAAACTGGGGACAGATGAATCCTCCTTTAACATGGTTCTTGCCACAAGAAGCTTCCCTCAGCTAAGAGCAACCATGGAGGCCTATTCCAGAGTATGAGTCTTTTTTTTTTCTCTTAAGACTTGGGTTATGTTTGAAATGTGAAAATATTTTAATCACTCTAACTCTTAATTTGCAGATTGCTAATCGAGATTTGTTAAGCAGCATTGGCCGAGAGTTTTCTGGAAATGTAGAAAATGGTTTGAAGACAATCTGTAAGAATTTGTTTTTGCTTTTTGGTTTTTTGTTTGTTTGAGAATCAGGCTTATACCTCTTTGTTGTTCTCATCAGCAGATGGGAATTTATCAGGAGAGCTTTTTTGTAAAGTCCCTGGGCAGAGGGCATGGCCAGCTTTGTGTTTTGTATACAGGTCCTGGTGAATTGTTGACGTTTAATCTTGAAGTCGTTGGCCATATTTGGCCTTGATGGTGGACTTTCACTCAGACTTGTAAAGGTAGTTTCTGAGGGCTGCAATTTTTAATGTAAAGGAAATGCTTACTCCTTGGGGGTACTCCCAAGTTTCTAACATACAAACCTTCATTAAGCCAAGGGCCACTTACTAAATCCACAGGCTGTTTGGGGGCCTTTTTGCTTTTGAAAGATGGCTTTAGTCAAAAAACAATTTCTGATGTTCAGGGCCTTCAGTAAGACAGGAATAGAATTTTTCTACTCCATAGAATGGAATTGAGGGAGGTAATGTTACTAAATATAGCCTTAATACTCGGAAAAGAGATGATATCTTTATAAATATCCCTACGTGGCCATAGCTAATGTTCTGCACAGTGGTGTATTCCTTCTGCCAAAATGGAAATAGGAGGTAAGTTGTCCTGTCTTCTGAGCAACATTCTCCCTTTTTGGAAATACTCTCTCTATTAGCCTCGAGGTAGTTCTTCTACAATAGATGCTGCTGCTGACAAATATTCTTTTCTGGGAATAGCTCTAACATTCAAGTTGTGTTGTCTTGTCCCTTTTGCTTCATAAAACTGTGGGTACATTGCCTTCATTCCCTTCCCTTCCTAGAGTATTCTGGTTTCAGTTTCCAGAATTCCCACTGCCTCATCTGGTAACACTGCAGACACTTGTTTAGGAAATAAAATGACCCTTGTCCCTATCTAATCCAAAGAAGGCTTTACTGAATTCCTAGTTGAGTTCATGGTTTGCCAATCTACAAGACCAGTCACACACACTTTTCTGGCAAGCAGAGAGCTTTGAGTCCATCCTGATTCTGAACCCAGGGCTTGGTCCTCGGAAACTGCTCAGGTGGGAGTGTAAGATGTGGCTCTGGAGTCCTGAGTAGTGACCACAAACACAGGAAATTGTACCATGTGTCTGGCAGGTTTATTCTAAGAGTTGACAGCCCTTTCTCTCTCACCCTAACATGTTGGGAAACCAATTTTTTAAAAAGCTTGGAGACCAGTCCAGATTTCTTAATGCTCAGTTCACTATTGTCTCTTTTAGAGTCAACATATACCTTACACCTAACTCTCAGACATAGAGGGCAGTATTTTTTTATATCTCAATAGCTTTTAGAACCAGTGTTTGTCTGTTGCTTTTTTTTTCCCTTTTAGTGAGGCAATTGGGGTGAAGTGACTTGCCCAGAGTCACACAGCTAGTGAGTGTTATGTGCCTGAGGGCCGATTTGAACTCAGGTCCTCCTGACTGGGCCAGTGCTCTATCCATTGCACCACCTAGCTGCCCCTGTTTCTTTTGCTTTTGAATAAGACATTACTTGCAGTAGCTAGATTTCCTGCTTTGAGTGAGATACAGAATTGGAGTCGTCTTCCAGAACAGTGAGGAACTAGGATATATTTGCCAAAGGGAACTTTCAGGGAAGAAGGAGAACCTGTGAAATACATGCAGAATGAGGTGGTGAATATTGAGTAAAAAAAAAAGAGAGAGGACATTTCCATAGCCCTTCAGGTCTGTAGCTGGAGAAATAGCTGGGGTGCAAGTAGGGGAGAAGGACCAAAGGTTTCAGGTCAGCCCTCCAGGTCAGACTCCCCTGCATAGCCATGGAACATCTCTCTAACTCTGTGTTGTTATTGCCTGACAGTGCAGTGTGCCTTGAACCGTCCGGCCTTCTTTGCTGAGCGGCTCTACTACTCCATGAGAGGGGCTGGCACAGATGACTCAACCCTCGTGAGGATTGTCGTCACCCGGAGTGAAGTAAGCCCTTCTCTTTCTACCTCGACTGTAGTTATGTTATACCCCAGCTTGCTGGATTCCTCACTTGGCACCCTTTAGCTGAAAGTTGCCAGTGGAGATTCTTACAGAGCCAGGTCACGGAAAGTTACCAAATAAAACATTGGGAAAATCTCTGTGACTGTTAGCTGGTCGCTGGTTAAGGATGTCAATTCACCTTCCCTGCCCTGAGAGGGTTTTAATCTGCCATGCAGGGAGACACACACTATGTATGTGATTCATACATAGAGAATACCATTCTGGAAAAAATACTTAGGGATAGTCATACTTTTGAGAGGCTGTGGGGGTAGGGGTGTGCATTGATTTGTGGAGAGATGGAGCAGGGCCATCTCTAGATGTCCTGATACATATCTCACCACTGGAACTGGAGGAGAAAATGAAGCTGGTGACTTTGCACAGCCCTCTGTCACTTAAATCCAATTCACTTGCAAGTCATGGCATCACCTTCCTGATGTCATGGTCCTCTTTGAGAACCAAGGACAAATAACAACAACAACAAGGGGAGATGAAAGATATTGCTGCACCGGTTATTGTTTTGCTGATGTAAAAACTTGTGCAAAAGGTCTACTTCTGCCAAGCTTTTCTAAATCCAAAGGCTTTTAAAGTGAAAATGGAATAACTTTTTTTGAGGTGCTATTCGCAATACAATTCACAACACTGTAATCAGTGTTCTTTACAAGTTAGACCTTCATTGTTTAGTACTAGCCATAGAGTGAGAACAGGTATAAAAATGTCCCTGAGCTTTTTTTTTTAATGTGCTTCAGCTGAAATTAGAGCCTTTCATTGGTCAAGAGGATAAATGCCAGCTTTTATTTATAACAGTTTTGTCCTCACATCAGATCTCTCATCTTTTGTGCAGATTGACCTTGTGCAAGTGAAACAGACGTTTGCACAGATGTATCAGAAGACACTGGGGACCATGATCTCCAGTGACACCAGTGGAGACTATCGCCGCCTGCTCCTGGCCATTGTGGGCCAGTAGAAGGATTGTTTTGTTTTGTTTTGTTTTGTTTTGTTTTAAAAGAAATTGAACTATTCCAGTCTCATTCTCTTGAAGACAACTGTCTTGCATGCAGCAGAATCAATGGTAGCCTAACCAAATGTGCTTTTTATTAAGGACACCAGTCAGAGTTAATGTGCTTAGTTTGCACATGCTATTCTTGCCTTAATTCTAATGTTATTTTTATTCTATACAAAATCAATGTCAAGCCATGATGTGACAATGATGTAATAATAATGTATTGTATGGGGGAAACATAACGTTCACCATTACTGTCTTATTCAGATCAAGATTATGGAACAAATAAAAATTATTACAGTCTAGCCCTGCATAATCATACCTAACTATAAAAGCTTCGCTAAAAGTTATGTGGTCTTTAAAACCCATTTGGAATTCTGCCATCAGTTAAAAGGTTAAAGCTGGGACAACTTTATAACTACTTTTAAAAAATGCAAATATTTTTAAAAATCAGAATGGTAATTTGCATCTTATTTTGTATAAAATGGCAATTTGTTTATAAGGATCTTACTTTACACCTACAGAATAAATGCCACCTACTAATTCTTTTCAAAACCAAAATTCTAGCACACAATTAATTATATAGCAAACCTTAAAATCCCTCACAGTTTAATCATAACCTGGGAAAGAGAAGAAGTGTGAAATGAGGCAGAATGCAGTCCGTTTAGGAGGCGTATGCCCTGGGAAGCAGCAGAATGCATTCAGAGCAGAGCTCCTGCCTTTGTTTTTTTTTGGATTGACCGCCCATCTTTTGTGGGTGGCCAGTGCAGGGGCTTGAGGGAGAATGTAAATGAACGACATGGTTCCTGTGTTCCAGTGGGCAATGCAAAAATAAAGCAATGGCTAAGCAGAGAGGAGGCTCCTCCACCCCCAGAAAAAATGAGTGGTGCCAATAGGGAACAGAAATGCATGCTGTGGATAGCAGCTTCTGACCCGGGTTTTGGGCACCTGAAGGAGATGGGGATGCAGGAGGAGCAGGATGGGGTGTTGCGGGCAGAGGACAATGCATTTGTGCAGGCTGGACCATTGAGGTGGGACCAGGCAGCGATGTGAGTTAAGGGTTCTTCAGAGAGGAGCCTGCCTGGAGGCGTGGAATGGGACCGTGGCTCTTAAGAAGTAGTTTGATGGGGGCAGCTAGAGGGCGCAGTGGATCCTGGATTCAGGAGGACCTAAGTTCAAATTTGCCTCCAGACGCTTACTCTCACTAGCAGTGTGCCCCTGGGCAAGTCACTTCACCCCCCCATTGCCTCCCCCGCCCCCGCAAAAAAAGTAGTTTGATTAGGAGGCCGCTAGGTGGCACTGCGGGCCTGGACTCTGGGAGTCCCCAGTTCAAATCCTACTTCCGTCGCATTACAAGGTGACCTTCGTCAAGTTCCTTAACTTTTGCGGGACTCAGTTTCCTCATCTGTAAAATGAGGTTAGACTCGATGGCCTAAATTTAGAATTTCCATCTGCAGCACTTTTTAAATGAGTCTTCAGCATTTTCCCAGAAGCCTGTCTGGGTTGTCTAAGGGGCTGGAGGTTAGGCCTCACCGGCTCGGGCAGCTCAGTCAGTGGCCAGAAGCCCCCGGGCGCGCTCGCCACGTCACACATCCTCCCCACCCCCACCCCCACAACCCCCAAAGCGCATGCGCGGAAAAAACCACCGCCTGCTTGGGACTAGGTCTAGCTTCGCGAGAACAGCGATCTCTCGCGAGAGCTCAGACTGGTTGCTATAGCAGCAAAGAAGCGCTACGGTTCTAGTTACATCAGGTAAGAGAAGGAGAAGGTTCTTTTTTTACGTTTACCGGCAGCTATGACATGAGTCGTTATTGTTCAGTTGTGTCTGATTCCGGAGTGTTTTGCCGTTTCCTTTTCCAGTGGATTAAGGCAAACCGAAGTTAAGTAACTTGCTCAGGGTCACGCAGCTAATGAGAGTAAGCGTCCGAGGGCAGATTTGAACTCAGGTCTTCCGGACTCCAGGTCCAGCACTCTATCCACCGAACCATCTAGCTGCCCCTATGACTTGAGTTACCATATGGTAACGCTGGAAAAGAGGTTTGGATAAAGTGCTTCTGG